AAAAAATGCTGAACATAAAATGTTAATATATTATAATTTTAAAGTTTAAATAAGTACTTTTAGTAAAATCGAATCTATATAGAGCAGATTTCTTTTGAGCTGTTATTGTACGGTTGGCGATTGCTCTGGATTATTGGTAAATTAAATTTACATATACATATATATGTGGTAATATTCCTTCTCTTTGGAATTGTATTAGTAAAAAGAAAAAACCCTCGGAACACTGACCTCGATATAAAAAGTAACTCAAAAAAATAAAATAAGGAATTAAGAATAAGACCATAAGAGTCTCAATTATTTCAATATATGTTCAAGTAACACATTTATATAAATATATAATATTGTATATTATATATTATTCTTGTTCTTTTAACTTTATTCTATTATTTTTTCCTTCCCGATTTTTTTTGAGTTACAACAATTGTAATACAACATTTTATGTCAAAGTCCTATTAAGGATTCTTAGTAGAGTATTAAAGTAACAAATAAAATAAAAAACCTTATATTATATCATAAAATGCAATTAACATGTGTTCGCCTGTAAGGCTGTTTTAAGAAACCCAACAAAATGTTTCTAATGAATTTAAAATTGCCAAAGGAACAATATTTTTTTGTTAACACGAAATAAGATTGTTCAGCTTAATAAATATAACTAAATAATTAAATATAAACAACCGATCTTTTATTATTACAGAATTAAATAATTAAGGAATATAATCATTCATATCACTTGCATTTAGTTATGCAAAATGCATGTTCCATATGAATAAAATGAATTGTACTTTATAAAAATGATATACTACCTGCAGTTACAATGTTCCAACCAATGTAAGAAAAAAGAAAATAATTATATGAATTTACAATAATAATATGAATAATGTATTTTAAAACGAAACTTGAACAAAGTTTATACTAATTCATACAAAAAAACACTTAACCAATTTAACTTAACCTATGTATTTTTACGAAAAGATCACCAATTTTATATTATCCGGGCATCTCAAATGGATTAACTAAAATATTTAAGAATTTTGGTATTACTTTGGTAACATCTAAGAGTAATAATTTAAGAGATTTATTAGGTAACCCTAAAGATAAGGTAGATGAAGGGGGGAAATCAGGCATTTATAAAATACAATGTGAAAGTTGTAATAAATGTTACGTAGGACAAACAAAAAGAAATATAGGGGTCAGGTTTAAAGAGCACTTAAGAAATATTAAAAATCAAGAAATTGAGAAATCTCCAGTGGCTGAACATTTATTGACACATAATCACTCCATTAAAACCATAAAACTAATTAAAAACGTAAATAATTACAAAAAACTTAATATCAGAGAAGCAATAGAAATGTTTAAAAATAAAAACAATTTAATTAATTGGGATCTTGGCCCACTGAAAAATTCATTATTAAACTTGTGTAAACTGGCAAAATGTGATAATGTTACTTAGTGATGACGTCACTAGGTGATAAGGTCACTAGGGGTATATAAGGGAGTTTTTTCTAGTCGGGGTGTCAGTATGTGTTTAGCGTTGATAATGGTAACATTGTTTCCGAAATACGTATCCGCGACTTTTCATTAATTTTTTTGTGGCTTTTGAGTTTAATATTTTTAATATTTTTTAGTTTTTTTAAATTAATAATATTTTTAATATAGTTTTAATTTTACTTAATAACAATTATTAATTTGCGTGATTCTATCGTTGATACAATATAATTATAGAATATTCTTTGTTAAAAGATTTGATAATAAATGTGCTTATTTATTAATATTCATAATTACACTTATGAAACATGAACCTCTTTGCATTGTCATATTATAAAGCTTATATTTAGAATACATAGTCTCAATATCAAGATCCTGATATTTTTTTTAAAGTATTATAGACTGATGAGAGTTACTTTAATAATAATGGTATTGAACAAACAAAATTCTTATTATTGGAGTAATACTAATCCATTTTGGACTCATGAAACCAAATTCCAAATAAAATGGTCAACGAATGTTCGTTGTGAAATTATGAATCATCAGTTAATAAGGCCATATTTTTATGATGGTGCGCTTACTAGTCAACGATACTTGTTCTTTTTGATGAATGTGTTATTAATGTTGGAGAACGTTCTACTTGAAATATGGAAAAATTTAAAATCTAGCACATAACGCTAGAAATGTTAGGTTATACCTGAATGAGTTATTTGAATCAAAGTGGATAGGCACCGATGGTCTATTAAAATGGCCATCTCGTACACTAGATTAAACTCCGTTAGATTTTTTCATGTGTGGGTATCTTAAAGATACAGTTTACTCAAATCAATCATCTTCAGTTGAAGATTTGAAAAGCAAAATAATATTAGCTTGTAGTAAGGTAACTCTAAAAATGCTACAATCCATCAAAGATGGATTGATGATAGATACCTAATATGTATTATAATTGATGGAGGTCATTTTGAGAATTATTTGTAATTATTTAATTTCCTGTAAAAATGAAATGTTGTTTTAAATCAATTCTGTAGATAATATTATTAAAAAATTATGTTATTTTATTAGTCAAATTGAATAATGACTGATAAGGACATATATCATCACATAATAAATTATAATAACTTTTTTATATCGTAAGTTTTGATTAAAACCTACGATAAAAAAAATCATATGTTAAACAATTTTATGGTTGTATCTGTTGCGTTAATACTATCATAACTTAGTTTTTAACATAATATCTTAAAAACATGTCTTAGATAACATTTTACTTTGATGTGAAACTGGGAAGGTATTGGTTTTACTATGATGTGTTTTGTTTTTGTGTCTGTTACCACTTTTTCTCAGCTCTCACCGAACGGATTTCTTTCAACGATAAGTCAAAAGATCACAAATCGTATCTAGTCAAAGACATTATCCTCAAAAATTGAAAAAAATTATTGAAAATTGTATAGATCAACACAATTTTTTTATGAGAAATAATATTTTTAATAATCCCTTTTTCATTCAGGATATTAATAAGGAAATAGCAGATCATGTAGCTTTTGGAATAATCCTCCAATTTTTTAATATTAAACACTATCTTAAGATTTGCATCGAAGCGTTTTTTATGATAGTGATTTTAATCACTGTCAGATATCATTATACTTGATCCATGTATGTCACGTCACCACTGTGCCGCGACCCCCCTGTGCTGCGTTTTTATAAATTATTTGATAAACTTAATTTTACTACGTGTTTTCACGTCATTTACAGATTGTCATTCGAATATAAATATTATTCATGGAAAAGAAATTGCGTATTGTCACCAGTAAATAACGTAATATGATAGTGATTACTTCCTTTACATAATATAGTTTGATACCACAGAAAAATCGTAAAAAAGTTTAAAATTTTACAAATGTCAAAGTGCCATAGTAATAACTAAATTAAAATAAGAGTTTTTGTATCAAAATTTATCTTTAAAACGCTATAAAATTATAAAATGGCTATCTTCAAAACTTAAAAATTTTATTGAAAATTGAAGCTGAAATAACTAAAATTAATAAGACATCATAAGGTAATACTTTTTGAAACTAATTTCAAGTATTTTACATTATTTTTATGTAGTTACAACCTATACAAATCTTTTCTTTTGTACATTTTTTTATCGAAACTTTTTTACTGCTAACATATCGTATTGTAATATTAACAATTATTACCAATGAACAATTAAGTAAATAAAAAAAAACAAATTAAGTATTATTTTTTTGTTTAAATTTATATTTAGGTTAAAAAAATATGAAAACATTTTTGGCAAATTAATTAAATTTATTCATCCATAATCTTTTAGAATATAAATGGAATACAATTTTCTACTATCTCAAAATCGACTGCTATAATATTATACATCAAAATGATAATTTTTATACTTGTTATTTGCATCATTTATTCAAAATTTTCAGTCGCGATGAATCAAATAGATATGCATTGCAATTTTTCTAAATATATGTTTAATTATTTCAAATACAGTGAGCAATATCTATTTAACTTTGAAAATACGATTTCTGAAACTCAACTATTTACCTATGGAACAGCAATCAAAACTCATGATGAAATAATAATGGTCATGTTAGAAGCATTACGAGAAATGAATAAATGTTATTGTGCAAAAGATTTGACAACGGTTAATTTATACTTGAACAATGTATCGGGATCCTTAAATATGATCGCTAAAAACGAAAATGGTGAATTTAGTAGATCTGAAATTTCTAAAAATTTACTCAAAGGATATAAAATAATTCACCAATCAATTGTTGAACGATTAAAGTATTTTATTGAATATAAATGTTCCAATGTATCCTTTGAAAATGATTTTATACTGTACACTAATTTTAAAAAACCAATTGAATATAGCTCGGAAAACTTACATTGTGTATTGGAACAGCTAAGAAAAAAAATCATTAACAACATAAAAGAATATTTAACTTTAAAAAGTATGTTTGCAATACATAACAATCCAATGTTAAAAAATTATAATGTCATTATGAAACATTTAGCGTTAGCATATGAAAGTAAACAGTATAATCGTTTTCATCCAAAATATTTTTTGTTTTATGACTTAATGGAGAAACGTCCTCATATTTTTGAACTAGATCTCACGTCAGGCTCCCAAGCAAAACAAAGAGTTACTTATAATAACGATGGCCAACTGAGCAATATTTTAGACGAGCTGCGATTTACACCAATTTTAAAGAAAAGTGAAAACAATTATCGAATAAGGTTATCAGATATATTTCGATTTATCAAATACGATTTTAATTTGCTAAATATCCAGGCATTTCATCTATTAGTAAATACAGCAACAATCTTACCCATTTTGAGAGTCTTGCGTCAATATATAGTCTTAATCGAACGGGTTTTAAAATATAATAATATAGAATCAGAAATCAATTTAAGGATTAAAATAATTAAAATGGGTGAAGATATCATTGATTTAATTGAATTACTAATGGATTTAAATCTATTTAAACATCAATAAGAAATTTTTTTAAAAAGACATGTATAATTATTTCGTCTTTCAAAGAACGTACATATTCATATATAAATAAAGAAGCTCCAATGCTTTCAAAATTAATTTACTCATATATCAAACTTAATTTTATACATTTAAACTTTATGCCGTTAGATAACATGAATTTTTTAAATTGTAGTGTCATTAAAATTTATGATTCAATAGTTGAGAAAATAAATACTATCATAATATACATATCAAAATTAAAAGAATATCAATATTGCTTTAAAATTGCAAATAGTTATATACCTCTACTCTACATTGATTCATTAAGATTGAGAAATGTTTTAAAATATAATTTTCCATTTGGTAAGTAAATGTGTTTATTAAATATGTTTACTAAAAATTAAAAATCGAAGTTTCTATTATTTCTTCTACATAAGATAGTATTTGTTCGCAAATCTATTTATAAAGTTTATTTTAGTTTTTCGGAGTATAGTAATAATAATTAGAAATGTGTGTTTGTTTTTCTTAACCCTACTTACTATATATTAATTAGGAAATTATTTATGGAGAATCATTTCCCTTAGAATAGAAATGTTCTTGTTGTACTGTATACATTATACAGTACAACCTATATTACACTATAGGATATCTAAATATGGTAAGGCACTGATGTATTCAAAAGTTATGAGAATTATAAATTTGTATTAAAAGATAAATTATGTTAAAGAGGTCAAGGTTTCGTTGTTTTGAATGTAGAATAACACGGCAATTAAATACCCAAATAACTTTATAATTATTAATATAATATATGCTACATTATCATATAAAAAAAGACCACAAAAAGTAATACTGTAGTTTCCGTGAGAAGGTGACTTTACACACTGGATCACGTTACCCACGATCACTTGGCGTAACGCAACCCGTTGAAAGACAAAAGGTAGCTATGTCGTCATCCAGTTTTATTTTAAATAACTAGTTACATATTATTCTTGATTTAATAGCTATGTAATACTTTTTAAGATTTATCTTATGCTTTGTAAGGGTGTTTAATTTATTTTTTCAAATAGAAACACATATTTTGAATTTAATAAAATGTTTAAGGTTTTATTTTAATAGTATATGATATTATATATTATATAATAAGAGTTTAAATGTAAAAATATTAATAATATTTTAAATGTTTTATTTTAGATCAATTGGGAAATCATGAAGACATATATCGTCCGCTGTATTTCTCAGATGAAGACTTAATTGATAAAGAAATACATGATATTCAAGTATCGAGTGATGAAAATTATGATGATGAGAAAAATAGTGATGACAATGAGGTTGTTGAAATAAAGAATGAAACGTATTACTCTCCTAAATACTTAGAAGATTATTTACTTTTCGTATAACTTATAAAATGTTAGGTAATATTTAATATATTTTTTATTTGATTTATTTGATGAAATAAATACATTAAATGTATGTAAATTTTACAATATTTAAACAATAATTGATCTTTTTGTCATCATGGTATTTATTCATATCAATGTCAATTTTAATGGCATTTTCAACAAATTCGTAATTTATTTAAAATTTGATGGATTTTTATTAAAATAATACATAATTATGATAAGGGATGTGCATGGTAATACACTCAACCCCTTTCCTTAAAGTGTTTACAGTGATTATCATGGGACAAATAATGACCAGCGTTATTTTTACCAAAAGATGAACCAAAATTTTAAGACAGTTTTCTTCCCCTTGGAAATTTTATTTTTCCTACCGAAGACACCAGATTCTGTGTTATTACACCGGAGTTAATGCTTTCCTTCGGTTTATTCAGAAAAAAATGTTTGTTTTACGAAATCCTTTCGATAAAATCCTTTATCTGACCGATTATTTCTAAACAATCTTTTATCTATAGAATCTTCTATTTATAATCTTCCATTTAAACAATCTTAAAACGAGTAGCTTTATCACTGGTGTAATATACATAATTGATTTAGTACAAGACTTTAAAATTGCATGGATTTCATCGAATGGGTTAAACTGAATAATAATCTTTATTTAGGGAAGAGTTTTGAATACTAGCCTATCATTTTATATCATTTGATAGTAGTTATTAGAACAACATGAAAATGTTAATTGGGCGATAAAGTTTTATTTTAACAATTTCAGCATCGAAGAAATTTTAGAGATGGATATCATTACACACGTCCAAAATTTAATGGTCCGATTAAGCAAATTTTTTAATCTTATTTGGTAGATTAATATTATGTACTGATGAAAACATTTTAGGCGTCTATTGAAAAATTAGGATAAGTAAAAAGGAAAACTAGGTTTTGCCTAGCTGGGCTCTGCCCCTAACCCGATGCCCTGCAAGCCTCATGCACTTGTGGGGTGTTAGGCCATTCACTGTTCATACGGGCAGGATACTGATTACGGTAGAAGTATTCGGCTGCTCCGTGCACGATATGTGTTGTGTGTAAAATACATAATTCTAAATTCAAACAGTAAAATAATTCCACTTGTCAATTAAATAATAATTAAAAAATGGTAGCACAAGGGGGTCACGGCAGAATGTGAACGTTGCAAAGTTGGGACAAGTATAGATAATATCTGACAGTGATTAAAATCAATATTATAAGAAAAGCTTCGATGCAAGTCTGTAGTGTATGATTTTAAGAAATTGGTGGATTATTCAAAAGTAAAATTCTAACTAAAAAAGAAATAAGGAAAAATCTTTACTGAATCGGTAAACGTTCGTCGCATTTGTTCTTTGATAAAATTGACAATTTAAGCTGATTCAATTGTTAAAATTAATTTTTTTGACCTAAAAGAAAAAAAAAGGTATAGCATTTTAAAGTAAAAAAAACGGTAGCACAGTGGGGTCGAGGCACAGTGTGGACGAGGCATAGATGGGACAAGTATAGATGATATCTGACAGTGATTAAAATCACTATCATAAGAAACGCTTCGATGCAAATCTGTAGATAGTGTTTCATTTAGAGAAATTGGTGGATTATTCCAAAAGCAACATCAACTCTTATTTCTTTAATTATATC